TTTTTTATAATATTAACAAATTTGGACTTTCTAAAAAATATTTTTTCATAATATTGACAAACCTGGAGTTTTTAAAAAAAATATTTTTTTTTTTTATAAAATTAACAAATGCAGATTTTTTTAAAATTTTTTCATAATATTAACAAATATGGATTTTTAAAAAATATTTTCGCATAATATTATCGTTGTGGATATTAAAAAAAAAGACTTCTAATTTGACCCATTTTTTTATAAATTTTCCCTTTTGATTAGAATATCTGTTTTTTTTTGGATATGATTTCGGATGACATATTTAGATAGCAAATCTTTTAAGTCATTTTATTTTATACCTTTGCCAAATCACATCCCACACATTCTCACAAACGCTGTGAGAATGACACACATCGAACAAAATGTGTTTATCGCCTTTTATTTGGCCATTATCTTCCTCGGGTTTTTGTTTTGGGGGAGGGGTGGGGGTGTGTGCGGGAGATGTGGGCAAACGAAATTTGTATTTTGGTACAATAACTGTTATTGTTCTTAAGCGGATTCCTTATTTCTTCAATTTCGGTTACAAAAAAAAAAATCTCTCAGTTTGAGGGAGGAACAAACAACAGCATTTTGTCGCCAGGGTAATTGAACTTAACAATATTTACTTACCTGGAGACACCACACACACACAAACACCTCAGATCAAGTAATTTACATAATATTGTTCTTGAAAAAGAACAAATTAAAAATAAACATGAGTTGGAGATGGAGATCTTTTGGAATCATTCTTTTCAAGAAGAAGAAAATGACGAAGATGGGCGACATGCCTTCAACAAAAGTCTGGGGTGTTAAATACCACGAAGCGTTATTTTTTTTATTTTTTTGAAGATTTTTTTAAATTATTTTAAATATTTTATCAGAGATAATGAAACCTGGAATTTTTTGAATTTTTTTTAAGAATTTTTTTAAAACTTTGAAATCCGTGTGACCATTTCTTTGGTCATTTGCAAAGCCTAGAATGCCACAAAAGTCATATGGATTGAATGGCAACACCGTTGTTGAAAAACACACATTTATCCACTCTGTCTCTCTCTCTCTCCCCGTTAACCATATTGGGCCATATCGCCTCTCTCTCCCCGTTATTCATATGCGGCCATCTCGCCTCTCTCTATCTCCCCGTTAATCATAGGCAGCCATTTCGCCTCTCTTGTAGTTCAAACACTTAAGGTTTTTGGTTTTCAAAAGGAGCAGAAGTGTCTGATGAAATATTGCCAGAACAAGCAAAAGTAATCAACATTTATTGTTGGTTCTTTACAACAACACTTTTTCATTGACGGATATTGCAGAAGATACACCAACAACAACAAACAAGAATATAAAAATAAAGAAGAACGTGTTTTGCATACAAGTGGCGGTGGCCAAAGAGACCAAAAATAAGAAACACAAAAGAATCACTTCAGTTTTGTTCACTTGAATTCTTGATTTTTTGTTTTTGTCATTTTTGTATTTAGTCACTCAGTCAGTCACTTAGCCACTCATTCAGACGGCCATCATCCACCACCAGCATGGTGTGTGGTTGGTGGCAGGCAGTATTATGATTTCCCATTCATGGTTAAACAAAGTCTATATGTCTTTGTATTAGAATATTATTGCTTTGGCATTCTCACTCTCTTCAACTGACATTTCGAGTCAAAACAAATTCTGTTCGTGATGGCTTGCTTGGGGAGTGGTGTCTTATTGCCATTTTAATTTTTCTTGGCCAGCTCGTGGTCACTATTAATTCCATTGTGGCACATCAAAATTAATGACCAAAAACATCGATACGACGATTTCTATTTTATATTGAAATTGAAACAATGGAGTATGATTTGAATTTCAAAATTTCACTTTCAATGCTGAGTGAATTCTAAGGTTGTTCTATTTTTTTTTTTTTGAGTTGGGGTAGGTTGGGAGAATAAATTGACTGTTTAATCAATATTTTCGAGAAATTTAAAAAAAAATAGTTCAGAGATTTTGATAGCGTGTCTCTGATTTCTTAAAAATAATTTAGAAGCCATTGGAGGGAGCGTAGATTTTTTTTAAACATTTCAAAGGCTTTTTAAATATTTCAGAGGCTTTAAGTCGTAGATTTTTTAAGAATATTTCGTAGACCATCAGGCTTGGATTTTCTTACAAATATTTCAGTGACCATTAGAGGTTTTACAGGCGTGGATTTTTTAAAAAATATTTCAGTGGCCATTAGAGGTTTTAAAGGCGTGGATTTTTTAAAAATATTTCAGAGGCCATTAGAGGTTTTACAGGCGTGGATTTTTTAAAAATATTTCAGAGGCCATTAGAGGTTTTAAAGGCGTGGATTTTTTAAAAATATTTCAGAGGCCATTAGAGGTTTTACAGGCGTGGATTTTTAAAAAAATATTTCAGAGGCCATTAGAGGTTTTACAGGCGTGGATTTTTTAAAAATATTTCAGAGGCCATTAGAGGTTTTAAAGGCGTGGATTTTTTAAAAATATTTCAGAGGCCATTAGAGTCTTTACAGGCGTGGATTTTCTTAAAAATATTTCAGAGGCCATTAGAGGTTTTACAGGAGTGGATTTTCTTACAAATATTTCAGAGGCCATTAGAGGTTTTATAGGCGTAGACTTTTTAAAAATATTTCAGAGGCCATTAGAGGTTTTACAGGCGTGGATTTTCTTACAAATATTTCAGAGGTCATCGAACACTTCAAAGAAGCGATTTTTTTTTAAATAGTTAAAAAAATATTTATAGATACCAGTCAACGTGGATTTTTTAAAAAATATTTTTTGAAGCCAATAGTAAACGTGGATTTTTTAAAAAATATCAATATTTATAAATATATAAGATATCAATATTTTAAAAAAATATATTTTTAGAGATACCAGCGAATGTGGATTTTTTTAAATATTTTTTGAACCCAATAGTAAACGTGGATTTTTTAAAAAAAATTTTTTGAAGCCGATAGTTAACGTGGATTTTTTAAAAATATTTTTTGAAGACACCAGCAAACGTGGATTTTTTAAAAAAATATTTTTTGAAGACTCCAGCAAACTTGGATTTTTTAAAAAATATTTTTTGAAGACACCAGCATACTTGGATTTTTTAAAAAATATTTTTTGAAGATACCAGCAAACTTGGATTTTTTAAAAAATATTTTTTGAAGACACCAGCATACTTGGATTTTTTGAAGATACCAGCAAACTTGGATTTTTTAAAAAATATTTTTTTTTGGAAATACCAAAAAACGTGGATTTTTTTTAAAAAAAATATTTTTTAAAGATACCAATAAAAGTGGATTTTTTTTTAAATTTTTTTTGAAGTTACCAATCAACATAAATTTTTTAAAAAATAATTTTTGAAGATATTAATAAACGTGGATTTTTTAAAAAATATTATTTAGAGATACCAACAAACGAGGATTTAAAAAAAATATTTTTAAAACGTGGATTTTTATAAAAATATTTTTTTGAAGATATCAATAAACGTGGATTTTTTTAAAAAATATTTTTTAAAGATATCAATAAACGTGGATTTTAAATAAAATATTTTTTAGAGATACCAACAAATGTGGATTTTTTTTAAAATTATTTTTTGAAGATACCAATAAACGTGGATTTTTAAAAAAATATTTTTTTGGAGGTACCAATAAACGTGGATTTTTTAAAAAATATTTTTTTGATATACCAATAAACGTGAATTTTTAAAAAAATATTTTTTGGAGATACAAATAAACTTGGATTTTTTGAAAATTATTTTTTGAAGATACCAGTAAACGTGGATTTTTAAAAAAATATTTTTTTGAAGTTACCAATAAACGTGGATTTTTAAAAAATATTTTTTTGAAGTTACCAATAAACGTGGATTTTTAAAAAATATTTTTTGGGTATACCAACAAAAGTAGATTTTGTAAAAAATATTTTTTGGTAATACCAATCAGCGTGGATTTTTTAAAAAATATTTTTTGGAGATACCAACGGACATGGATTTTTTAAAAAATATTTTTTGGAGATACCAACGGACATGGATTTTTTTTAAATATTTTTTTTTGAAGATACCAGTAAACGTGAATTTTTGTTTAAAAATTTATTTTATAATTTAAATAAACGTTTTTTTAAAAAATATTAAAAAACTTGGAATTTTCATTTCAAATCCAATCAATTTGTTTTTTTTTGTCAACTCCGAGATTTGGGTCAAATAAATTGCTTTCAAAGACATTTAATCCCTTCAATTAAAATGTTGCAACAACCACTATCAACCAAGCAACAACAACAAAACAGCCGAGTAACAATTGCCTCAACACTTTGTGGGTTGGGTCTTTTACAAATCATGTGCGGCAGCCATACAGCAGCCCGACAGCCACAAAGAGATGATGTTTGAAATCTCATTGAGTCGGGGCTTAGAAACAGTAAATCAAAAAATAACAAAATTAAAGTATTTAAAAAGGAACAACAACAACCACATCACGACAATATAAATCAGAAAAACATGAATATGACATTTCCATTACAACGGGGGGAGATGATGGTCTTCATGGTTATCTGAAGTGTGGAGTTGATGGAAAATTTATTTTTTTATTAGAAAAAAGATACCAAAGAGTCGGTCACCTCAAGCAAGCGCTTCGCCGGGAATGGGCCAAAATACCGCACAGCAACATTCGGGCAGCGTGTGATGGTTTCATTGGCCGTTTGAAGGCCATAATTCGTGCCAAAGGTGACCAATTCAAACAAATCTAAACTTATTCTAAAATTTGATGTTATTTCCGACATTTTTTTCTTTCATTCATTAAAATTTAAAGAAAAATGTAAAAATTATGGCGTTTGACATTGTTGCAGTTTTTTTATTTCACCCTGTATTCGTTCTTCCAAAAAATGAGGAATAACAATTTTCAAGTTTGTGTCTTAAATCTTTTCTTTGATCTAAAAAATTAAAAAGAAAATTTTTGTTCGAATTTTCGATTTATTACAAATTATTTCAAATAACTCTCTTCTTCCCTCAATCTCTCACCTCTCTTCCAGACAACTCTCATCTCAAACCCGTGAACGCAACACCGAATTGCATGAAACTTCGAATGAGAGCAAGAGTCTACGTCAACAGCTGATGGCCTTGAAGACCAGCCGCGATCAAGCCATACAGGAAAATGTGTAAGTTATGCCGTGGAAAAGAAGAAAAATATATCTAATTTTCATTTTTTTTCTCTTTCCCTTTAGACGCCTGAGCAATGACTTGGCTGAGAGTCAAGCTGAAGTCTCTACGCTTCGGAAACAGCTGAAGGATTCAGAGAAGGAAATTGAACGTCTCAAACAGCAATTAAGGAAATATGTTGAAGAAGTTAAAAAGGCGGAGGATTTGCTGATGAATAAGGTAAAGGCCAGAGAAATTAAAGAAAATCGGTGGTTTTTCAAAAATATATTTTGATTTTCTCTGACAGAAAAAAATTTCTGGAGAAAAAATTTCGAATTCTTTTAATTTATTTTTTTTATATTTTTAATTAATTTAAATTTTTATTTCAAAATATTCTTTTTTTCCTTGAAGAAAAAAAAAACTTTTCTGGAGAGAAATTTTCTAATGCCTTTATTTTTTTTCCAGGAAAAAGAACGCGAAGAAATGTTGGAACACTACAAGAGTCTGTCCCATGATGCTGTTCTGCTGGAGGGCAATAATCAAAGTTTGGAAAATGAAACGGCCGAGTATAGGTGAGCCCTCATAACATACTTCCTCAAGTAGTTTTGGAACCATGTTTGTAATCTCTCTCCCACTTCTCTCTGAAAATTTCTCTCTCTACTACCCACTTTTAATTTCTGTAGCTGTAATTGTTGTCGTTGTTGTTGCTGCCTTAGAATTAAGAAATTATTAATAGAACAATAGTAAAAGATAGATAAAACTGTAGTTAAAAATTAAAAAAAAATAAATAAATTCTAAAAAATAGTAAATAATTAATCAAAAAATAACCCCAAACTCCAACCCACCCAACAGACGTCAAGTTGCCGAATTAGATGCTGAAATTTCCGCCCTAAAAACCGAATTAAACTGCCGCAATAAATTAATATCCGATTTGGAGGATAAGTTGACGAAGCTCACTGCCAAAAACGCCTGTTTGGAACGCCAGCTAGCCGAGTGTCAGGATGAACAGCGTATCCTTAAAACCGATTTGGAGGCACGCAAAGAGTTGTGCGATAAGTTGGACAATGAAAAGGATAAGCTAAATGCGGAACTGAATGAGCTGAATGATGTTAAGAGGAAGGTGAGAGCTAAGGGATTTTGAGAAAAACTATTTCGATAACAGAAAAATAATCGATTATCCAATCCAATAATCCAAAAAAACGGAATGGGTAACACAATATTTTATGGGAAGTGTAATCGATAACACAATATTAAGGGAAAAACTATTATCGATAACATTATTTTGCATTAAAAAGATGATCGATAATAAAATTTTCTGTAGAGAAGTTGTTCGATAACAAGATTTTCTATAGAAAAGTTGTTCGATAACAACATTTTCTATAGAAAAGTAGTTCGATAACAACATTTTCTATAGAAAAGTAGTTCGATAACAACATTTTCTATAGAAAAGTTGTTCGATAACAACATTTTCTATAGAAAAGTAGTTCGATAACAACATTTTCTATAGAAAAGTTGTTCGATAACAACATTTTCTTTAGAAAAGTTGTTCGATAACAACATTTTCTATAGAAAATGTGTTCGATAACAAAATTTTCTGTGGAAAATTTGTTCGATAACTAAATTTTCTGTGGAAAATTTGTTCGATAACAACATTTTCTGTGGAAAAGTAGTTCGATAACACAGTTTTCTTAAGAAAATCTGTTCGATAACAACATTTTCTATATAAAAAGTTGTTCGATAACAAAATTTCATATAGAAAAGTTGTTCGATAACATCATTTTCTATAGAAAAATTGTTCGATAACGACATTTTCTGTAGAAAAGTTGTTCGATAACTTTGTTTTCTATAGAAAAGTTGTCCGATAACAAAATTTCATATAGAAAAGTTCTTCGATAATAACATTTTCTTTAGAAAACTTGTTCGATAACAACATTTTCTATAGAAAACTTGTTCGATAACAACATTTTTTATAGAAAAATCTGTTCGATAACAACATTTTCTATAGAAAAGCTGTTCGATAACATCATTTTCTATAGAAAAGTTGTTCGATAACAACATTTTCTATAGAAAAGTTGTTCGATAACAACATTTTCTATAGAAAAGTTGTTCGATAACAACATTTTCTATAGAAAAGTTGTTCGATTAAAACATTTTCTATAGAAAAGTTGTTCGATAAAAACATTTTCTATAGAAGAGTTGTTCGATAACAACATTTTCTATAGAAAAGTTGTTCGATAACAAAATTTTCTATAGAAAAGTTGTTCGATAACAAGATTTTCTAGAGAAAAGTTGTTCGATAACAACATTTTCTATAGAAAATATGTTCGATAACACAGTTTTCTAGAGAAAAGTTGTTCGATAACAACATTTTCTATAGAAAAGTTGTTCGATAACAACATTTTCTATAGAAAAGTTGTTCGATAACAAGATTTTCTATAGAAAAGTTGTTCGATAACACAGTTTTCTAGAGAAAAGTTGTTCGATAACAACATTTTCTATAGAAAAGTTGTTCGATAACAACATTTTCTATAGAAAAGTTGTTCGATAACAACATTTTCTATAGAAAAGTTGTTCGATAACAACATTTTCTATAGAAAAGTTGTTCGATAACAACATTTTCTATAGAAAAGTTGTTCGATAACAACATTTTCTATAGAAAAGTTGTTCGATTCAAACATTTTCTATAGAAAAGTTGTTCGATAAAAACATTTTCTATAGAAGAGTTGTTCGATAACAACATTTTCTATAGAAAAGTTGTTCGATAATAAAATTTTCTATAGAAAAGTTGTTCGATAACAAGATTTTCTAGAGAAAAGTTGTTCGATAACAACATTTTCTATAGAAAATATGTTCGATAACACAATTTTCTATAGAATAGTTGTTCGATAACAACATTTTCTATAGAAAATGTGGTCGATAGTAAAATTTTCTACAGAAAATGGTTCGATAACAAAATGTTCTATAGAAGATGTGGTCGATAACAACATTTTCTATAGAAAAGTTGTTCGATAGCAACCTTTTCTATAGAAAATCTTTTCGATAACAGAGTTGTCTATAGAAAATTTGTCCGCTTACAACATTTTCTATAGAAATGTTGTTCGATAACATTATTTTCTGTAGAAAATCTGTTCGATAACAACATTTTCTATAGAAAAGTTGTTCGATAACAACATTTTCTATAGAAAAGTTGTTCGATAACAACATTTTCTATAGAAAAAGTGTTCGATAACAACATTTTCTATAGAAAAGTTGTTCGATAACAACATTTTCTATAGAAAAGTTTTTCGATAACAACATTGTCTATAGAAATGTTTTTCGATAACAACATTTTCTATAGAAAAGTTGTTCGATAACAACATTTTCTATAGAAAAGTTGTTCGATAACAACATTTTCTGTAGAAAAGTTGTTCGATAGCAACATTTTCTATAGAAAAATTATTCAATAACAACATTTTATATAGAAAAGTTGTTCGTTAACAACATTTTCTATAGAAAAGTTGTTCGATAACAACATTTTCTATATAAAAAGTTGTTCGATAACAACATTTTCTATATAAAATCTGTTCGATAACACAGTTTTCTATTGAAAATCTCTTCGATAACACAGTTTTCTATGGAAAATCTCTTCGATAACACAGTTTTCTATAGAAAATCTGTTTGATAACAAAGATTTAATAAATACAACTAAATTGCTTTCCTAATTATTTTTTTAACAAATTTTATTTTATTATTTTCGATAGCTGGAAAATGAAAACGAACGTTTACGCCTAGATCTGGACAAAACCGAAAAGGGTAAGCAAATATCGGCGGAAACCTTAGAAGAACTATTAGCCAAAACTCGACGTGATTTGGAGGAACAAATCAAAGTTGATAGTAAATTAAGTCAAGAATTGTTACAGATGAGGAAACAGAATGAACAACTTTTGGTTAGAACAATCAAAATTAATGAAACTACCCTCCGGGAGAAATGATTTTACTAACCCTACCCCTTTTCTCTTCTCCTCCATTACAGCACGATCTGGAAACTGAGCGACAGAAACGGGAACAGAACGCAACATTGGCCCGTGAATTCCAGGTGCAAAATCAAGAGCTGCGTCACAATCTCACCGATGATCGTTTTCGTCAGGCTCGATCGCGCGAACAGAGTCCACGTTTTCCCATACAAACATTGTAGAAAATTATATTCATTTTTTAAATGTTTTTTTCTTTATTTATCAACTATTAAAATGTTATTAAGCTATTTCATTTAACATAAATTAAAATCATTGTTATATAGGAAAAATAAAAAAAGAGAATGCAAAAAATATTATTAAAATATAAAATAAATTGATGTAGTTATTCATATTAAATATTCATAATTTTCAAATATGTACCCAACATACAAGGACAATTATTAAATGGTGGGAGGCGCGAATCAGGTTTCCTTGCCAGAAATTGTTTGTGATTCTGGATATTTTCGCTGTCGTCTCTAGGAATATTCGACATAACTGGGTAATATTCTCGTTGATTTCCTGAAGTAGTTCCAGAAACGGGATTAATTTTTCTTGCAGAATATATCATGCCACCATCACCTTTGTCTTTCTTTATTGGAGTTCGTACAGCAGGATTCTCTTCAGAATATAAAAATCCACCATTAAGTGACTCATCGAAAGCGAATGTGACCTTCTCGGTTGTTATGTCAAACGGAGACGATTCACATTTGAATTTCATTTCGCTCTCTTTGATAACACCCGTTTCTTTGGCATCATTATCTCTTGCAATATCTTCTCCTTGCTCATTTAAAACTTCCCTCTTCAGCTGAGTTTTATTTGGAAAAATGTTCACCGCAGATTTCTCTTCTTTGGATTCTCCAAGAATATCCTCGCAATTTTCCTCAGTCTCGAATTTACACCTTAAGTTCTTTGGCAGCGGTATGAAACCTTCAGATTCTCTTTGCCAGCCTATACATTTCGAAGCATGACCTACACTGAGCTGATCACTGTTTTGTATTGTAGGTATGGATGATGTTATCTTCTCTTCATCCAAGCCACAAGGAAGTTCTTCACTTTCAAAATTCTTTCCATGTAGAAATCCCCTCTCCTCCTTCGTATCATGAACTTCTCTCTTTTGTAACATAAAAGTTTCTATTTCCATTTGATTCCCTTTCGAGCAACGATTTTGACTCAATTTTCGAATCAAATCAATGGCCAATTCACCCAACTCTTCTCCCTCGGATGTATCGATTTGTTGGGAGGATAAAAAATACCTGAGATCTCTTAAAGCTTTCAACGTGTTTGGGGAGGTATGGTAGTTATGGTGTGTACCACTTTGTTCGAGATTGGAATGCTCGGGAGATTTTATCATGTCTTGACAATTTTTACTGATCTGTTTTTCATCGTCAACGTGAGTCTTTTCATCTAGGCCATTTTTTTCTGGATGTGTTTCGATATCTTCATCAAGCACACTCGGCTCCTGGCTGTCTGATTTTCCTGATAAATCATTTTTGGCTAAAAAGGGACAATTTTTGTAGAAAATTAATTTTATAACAAAGATTCCCATTGAAAATTTTGTTATCGGCCTAAAAAGATGTTCGATAACACAATTTTCTATAGAAAATGTATTCGATAACAACTTTTTCTATAGAAAAATTGTCCGATAACAACTTTTTCTATAGAAAAGTTGTCCGATAACAACTTTTTTTTCTATAGAAAAATTGTCCGATAACAACTTTTTCTATGGAAAAGTTGTCCGATAACAACTTTTTCTATAGAAAAATTGTCCGATAACAACTTTTTCTATAGAAAAATTGTCCGATTACAACTTTTTCTATAGAAAATGTGTTCGATAACAACTTTTTCTATAGAAAAATTGTCCGATAACAACTTTTTCTATAGAAAAATTGTCCGATAACAACTTTTTCTATAGAAAAATTGTCCGATAACAGCTTTTTCTATAGAAAATGTGTTCGATAACAACTTTTTCTATAGAAAAATTGTCCGATAACAACTTTTTCTATAGAAAAATTGTCCGATAACAACTTTTTCTATAGAAAAATTGTCCGATAACAACTTTTTCTATAGAAAAATTGTCCGATAACAACTTTTTCTATGGAAAAATTGTCCGATAACAACTTTTTCTATAGAAAAATTGTCCGATAACAACTTTTTCTATAGAAAAATTGTCCGATAACAACTTTTTCTATAGAAAAATTGTCCGATTACAACTTTTTCTATAGAAAATGTGTTCGATAACAACTTTTTCTATAGAAAATGTGTTCGATAACAACTTTTTCTATAGAAAAATTGTCCGATAACAACTTTTTCTATAGAAAAATTGTCCGATAACAACTTTTTCTATAGAAAAATTGTCCGATAACAACTTTTTCTATAGAAAAATTGTCCGATTACAACTTTTTCTATAGAAAATGTGTTCGATAACAACTTTTTCTATAGAAAATGTGTTCGATAACAACTTTTTCTATAGAAAATGTGTTCGATAACAACTTTTTCTATAGAAAATGTGTTCGATAACAACTTTTTCTATAGAAAATGTGTTCGATAACAACTTTTTCTATAGAAAATGTGTTCGATAACAACTTTTTCTATAGAAAATGTGTTCGATAACAACTTTTTCTATAGAAAATGTGTTCGATAACAACTTTTTCTATAGAAAAGTTGTCCGATAACAACTTTTTCTATGGAAAAGTTGTCCGATAACAACTTTTTCTATAGAAAAATTGTCCGATAACAACTTTTTCTATAGAAAAATTGTCCGATAACAACTTTTTCTATAGAAAAATTGTCCGATAACAACTTTTTCTATAGAAAAATTGTCCGATAACAACTTTTTCTATAGAAAAATTGTCCGATAACAACTTTTTCTATAGAAAAATTGTCCGATAACAACTTTTTCTATAGAAAATTGTCCGATAACAACTTTTTCTATAGTAAAGTTGTCCGATAACAAATTTTTCTAGAGAAAAGTTGTCCGATAACAACTTTTTCTAGAGAATAGTTGTCCGATAACAACATTTTCTATAGAAACAACAACGATAACAACTTTTTTACATTGAAAAGTTGTCCGATAACAACCTTTTCCATTGAAAAGTTGTCCGATAACAACGTATCTAACTACAACAATATGCTTCTTTAATAATACCTGAAATCGATTTCTTTTGATTTGAAATCGGCGCCTCTGTATCTGGATCTGAAAGTGCATTCTTCTCTTTTCCATGACCTAAACTTTTTTCCGATATTTTTTCGTCTTTATTTTTGGCGGAATATCTATCTAAACTTGGATTTTCTTCTTCGTTTTTATTAACTGAAAATGAACACTCCAAGTCGATCTCTTTTGTGTTATTTGGAAATCTTGTTGAAGATTCTCTATTTTGAATTGAGGTTATGTTTTCATATTCACTCGAATGTGTTGATGGTTGCCTCTTGCGGCCAGAAAGTAATTCCTTATTCCATTTCTCATTACTCTTTATAGACGAATCTGCATTTTTAATGGCGGAATTATTATGAGCGTATAAAGCTTGTTCTCTCATATGAATTTTAGACTTTCTCAATGAGGATAGAAGACTGTCTGTGGGTTCCTCTTCGTTTGCCGATAGCTTTCTCTCCTTTAATTTGTCTTTAGTATGTGTGGAAACATTTTCATCTCGAGTCTCAGTCATATGAAGAGCGGCCATTGCCTTGTCTCTTTTAAGAAATCCAAAGTTTTTCTCCAGATCTTGATTCTCTCTCACCTTGTATTGGTGCCTCTCCTTCCATTTCTCATCATCTGGAGTTGTAGATTTTTTATTGATTGTGATTGTTTCTGTTTCTCTTTTATAAATTTCAGAACTCTTTCCTTGCTCTGGAGTTTCTCTCAACGAAGACACATCTTGGTCTTTGTATCCCTGTTCTTTTGAGGAATTTGTATTCAACTTCCATTTAAACTCTTTCACTTGACTTGAGGTTTTTTCCTCAGCATTTTTGGTCTTGGACATGTCTTTTGTAATATATTCAATTGCTCTTAAAGGCGTTGAACCACTGTTTCCATATTCTTCTCTTCTGAAAATTACAGTCTCCTTCATTTTCTCTTCTCTTTTATGTGCCGAAAAATCTCCTTCTTTCTGGGAGAGTTTTATATCTTTTCTGGAGTGTATATATAATTGTTCTCTTTTATGAATCTCTTTCGTCATTTTTATGTTGTCCTCGGGCCCAGAAAGTTTGTTTGCTGTAAATTTCACATTACTTTGAGTCGAGAAATCTCCATCTTGAAATGAGAACTCATTATAACTATTTATGGCTTCCTTTCTCCTGTGAATTTCTAATCTCTCTTTTAAATATTGCTCTCTTATCAATTCACTTGTCAATGGATGAGTTTCCTTCTCTTTGCTGTATTGCCTCTCTCTGCTGAATTGTGTTTCTCGATATTCTCTGATCTTGAAACTCTCTTGATTTTCATAGAGTTTCAAATATTGTCTATAATTTTCAATTTTTTCGCTGTGGAATTTCTTGGAGACGGAAGTCATTGATGGGGGTTCAGAATATTTGGAACTCCTCTCTTTATTTTTGTTATCTTTCTCAGCTTTCTCATTGCTGACAATACTGAGATTTTCAGGCAGCCATGGCTCCCCATTTTCATGACTTTCTTCATTGTATATTTCTTGACTTGAGATTTTTGATCTAAGCGTGTCATCCTGAGAATGCCGCTGCTCTGAATTTTCAGAGCCCGAGGATTTATTGCCACATTTTGAAGGCCGATAAAAACGATATTCCTCTTCGTTATTTTCAGGTTGAAATTTCTTCGATTTAGGAGAACTTCTTCCAGTTCTTTCTTTCTCTTCCTCAAAACTATCTCTTTCTGCTGACCTTTGCTGTCTCTTAGCCTCATCGGAGGCATATTTTTGTTTGGGAGAGGAAATTTCAGATGCTGTTGACTGCGTTCCAAATTTCTCCGATTTAGGGGAATTTCTTCCTGGCCTTTCCTGTCTCTTAGCCTCATCGGAGGAATAATTTCGTTTGGTAGAGGAAATTTCAGATGCTGTTGATTTCTTCGATTTAGGGAAACTTCTTCCCGTTCTTTCTTTCTGTTCCTCACAACTACTTCTTTCTCCTGACCTTTTCTGCCTCATAGCCTCATTGGAGGAATATTTTTGTTTGGGAGAGGAAATTTCAGATGCTGTTGACTCCGTTCCAATTTTTTTCGATTTAGAGGAGTTTCTTCCAGTTTCCTTTTCTGACCCACAACTACTTCTTTCTCCTGACCTTTCCTGTCTCTTAGCCTCATTGGAGGAATATTTTTGTTTGGGAGAGGAAATTTCAGATGTTGTTGATT